AGAATATTATGTCAAGGTGTGTCAGAAGGTAAGCAGGATTGCTCTTCTACTCAGACACGAACATAAATCATAAGAAAACTTTGCGCAAGAGAATTTTAACATGATCTTTAGGATCTTTTATTAGTAAACTAGGTATATAGAACACGTGTTACTGCAAACCAGTGATAAACAGCATACCTCTGCACGGCCCATAATAGAATAAACTCAAATATATGGATATGAGAAAAAAAATTATAATAAAATAAATGTATTAATCCCCCCCCCAGCCATGTGGCTTCCAAATATGGCATTGCCTTTCTAAAGGCAGTGCATCCTGGGGCTTCATCATAGAGGCAGGCTAGGGTCATCCAATCAGAGCTTGCCCCTAAATAATATTTATTATTACTATGATCCCCATTTGAGGGGAGAGGGGGAGAGGGGCAGAGGGGGAGAGGTAGAGAAATTTAGGTAGTTTTAGGTAGGGATTTGTAAAATTGTGAAACCCAAAGGCTCTTTTCAGAGCTATTAGCCCCTATCTTGCCAGTGATCACTATAAATCTGGCCCTTGCACAGCAGCACTTATTTTGCTGTTGTGCATCTTTTTAGGGATTCATTTTTTGTGTGATTTTTTTTTTGTGTGTGACGGATCACTAAATAAAGTGATTGTGATTATGCCACAGAGGTGACAAGATGTGAAAATTCCATGTTGGAAAACTGGAATGCACACCCTACAAATAAGGTATTTTAGGCCCCAGAGAACCTGTACATGGTTGGTATCACTGTATTCAGGAGATGTTGCTGAACACATACTGGGGAGTTCTTTGGCAGTTACCCATAAAGTTCTCAGTGCATGTATGGGGGGGGAGGAAGGGTAGGAGTGCTGTGTGTTTGGGGGGGGAGTAGGGGTGCTGTCCACACACACACAGCAGCCCTCACACACAGCACTCCACACCCTTACATACAAACACTGCACCCCTCAATGCAGTATGTGTGTGTGTATTCAGCAGTCTGTGTGTACTCAGCAGTCTGTCTGTATGTGTATTCAGCAGTCTGTGTGTATTCAGCTGACCTGTGTGTGTGTGTGTGTATTTCGCAGTCTGTGTGTGTGTGTGTGTGTATATTTAGCAGTCGGTGTGTGTGTATTAAGCAGTCTGTGTGTGTGTATTAAGCAGTCTGTGTGTGTATATTTAGCAGTCGGTGTGTGTGTATTAAGCAGTCTGTGTGTGTGTATTAAGCAGTCTGTGTGTGTATATTTAGCAGTCTGTGTGTGTATATTTAGCAGTCGGTGTGTGAATGTGTTCAGCAGTCAGTGTGTATGTATTGCATTTGTTGGAGATACTAATAAATATAAGCTTAATTTTATCTATTTATATCATTATTTAAAATTTGTATAATTGAACTCTCTGTTGTAGATATAGCAGCAAGTGAGATTTCTGGCGCTTGTTTCTTATGTGTACAGCAGCTAAAGCTTTCCCAAACCAGAGTCTCTTCTTTCTGGTCGTTGATGTAAGTAAAACGGGAGATGTACAGAAGCAGTGCTTAACAATTAAAATCCTTGTGTGGAATCCAATGGAGCCAATATAAGGGAGAAAACAAAATGGACAGGAATACTAATATAGTGTAGTAGGTCTATAACAGCAGAGGCAGAATATTAGGAATAAATATATTGCACTCACACTTTTCTGGAGCTCAAGATCAGCTCCAGATCACAGCGTATGGACAGTACAATCCCAGTCTGTGGATGTTAGGATGGTCCTGATTACCTCTGGTATCGTATTCCTATGCCAATAATCCACATGGTGTATTCCAGTGGTGTATATGGGATATAAAAGAACAGGAATATTGTTTTCTGTATTAATAAAACAAATAAAATAAAGAGAGAGATATACTCACAATGGATGAGCAAATAGGGATTGCTTGGTCCTTTACAGCATAGGTGGTTTGTCCTCCATCCGGGAATGTGAGATACAGCTTCTCCAATAAAAGATGTCCAGTGAAGGTCCAGGGATGCAAATGTAGATTAATTTTATCAAACAAATAAAAAATAAGTAACACACTAATGCGTTTCACCTATACAGAAGGCTTTTTCATAACACACTAACGCGTTTCACCTATACAGAACACTTTTTCAAAAAGCCTTCTGTATAGGTGAAATGTGTTAGTGTGTTATTTACATGTTAACATTGGGTATTTCTAAACTCAGGACAAAATGTAGAAACTATTTAGCATGGGTGTTTTTTGGCGGTTGTAGATGCGTAACAGATTTTGGGGGTCAAAGTTAGAAAAAGTCTATTTTTTTAAACAAAAAAAAATGTCATCATATTTTATAATTTTTTTATAGTAAATTATATGATATATGATGATGAAAATAATGGTATCTTTAGAAAGACCATTTAATGGTCAGAAAAACTGTGTATAATATGTGTGGGTACAGTAAAAGAGTAAGATTGAAATTACAACTAAAGACAAACAACGCAGAAATGTAAAAACAGCCTGGTCCTAAACGAAAATTTAAAAACGGTCTGGTCACTAAAAGGTTAAAGATTTTTAGTGTGTATGTATTTCTCTGTTTTTTTGGGTGCCTTTTTTTTCCGATTTTTGTATTGCTAATGGGTGTCCCGGTTGCACCTCCCTCCCCAAAATCTGGTCACCCTGTTCTGGAGGCACACCTCCAGAATTACATCAGCTGAGGCAGTGCCAAGGGTGACTCAGCGCTGGAGAAAAAGGTGAGTAATTAATTTAGTTCCTTTTAATTACTATGTAATAAAGAGTGCGCTGAAGATCTGACTCTTCTTATTAAACACTATAACACTGCAACTTATATCCTCAAAGTTATTTCCTTGGCAGGCAAGCAAAGAAGATACCAGGTTTCTAGCCTGCCTTAGTGTAATAGTGGTGAAATAATAATTAGGGTAAAGGGAGACCCCTGTAAGTATGTTACATTGCAAAATGAGAATAAGACAGAGACATTGTATAAGTGATCCCAGTTAAAGGACCACTCTAGGCACCCAGACCACTTCAGCTTAATGAAGTGGTCTGGGTGCCAGGTCCAGCTAGGGTTAACCCATTTTTTAATAAACATAGCAGTTTCAGAGAAACTGCTATGTTTATGAATGGGTTAAGCCTTCCCCCATTCCCTCTAGAGGCTGTCTCATTGACAGCCGCTAGAGGCGCTTGCGTGCTTCTCACTGTGATTTTCACAGTGAGAGCACGCCAGCGTCCATAGGAAAGCATTGTAAATGCTTTCCTATGCGACCGGCTGAATGCGCGCGCAGCGCTTGCCGCGGGTGCGCATTCAGTCCAGGAGGAGGAACGGAGGAGGAGAGATGGAGGAGAGCTCTCTGCCCAGCGCTGGAAAAAGGTAAGTTTAAACACCTTTCCCCCTTCCAGAGCCGGGCTGGAGGGGGTCCCTGAGGGTGGGGGCACCCTCAGGGCACTATAGTGCCAGGAAAACGAGTATGTTTTCCTGGCACTATAGTGGTCCTTTAACGAAAAGCAATATTTTGCAAGCTTTAAGAACAGATCCCTGTTTAAGATCCCTTAGTTAGGCTTGGCATTATAATAGTGTAAATGGGGAGTATAAATAACTTTTTCTAGTGCCATAATATCCTTACTTTGCATTTGTAAAGAGCTATGGACTATGCTGGTGCCTACATAAATGTGAAAAATAACAGTTGAAATGGTTTTGTTGTTTAAAAAAAAAAGTTCTCGTAGTCGGCAGGATTCGAACCTGCGCGGGGAGACCCCAATGGATTTCTAGTCCATCGCCTTAACCACTCGGCCACGACTACAGACTTAGAAAGACAATTAGTGTATGTGTTAAAAATAAAGTGTTTGTAGGTGAGGACAAAGTTTCACTACACGAATTCAACAATTTATATTTTAATTTTTGAGAATAATTATATATATTTATATACACACACACACACATATACATACACACACAAAAAATATTTACATATATTATAAGCGTTGCTTATCCATGCATAAACCACTCAAATCGTAGAGAATAAAAACCTGAATCACATTACTTTAAAAATACACACACACACACACACACACACACACTACATACAGCTAACACATACCCAGTACATATAACCAGCAAACACACATTATGTACAGGCAGCACACTATGACAGGGCTCGACAAATCCTAGGCACCAGGTCACCATGATGACTAGGAATTTTGTCCTAGTGCTTGGGATATGACGGCCCGAATCAACGAGGGAGAATGCAGGCAGCCAGCCGGCCTGCCATAGCAGAGCAGAAGGTGCCGGACAGTATTGTGGTAGAGCAGAGGCGGACTGGCAGCCACGGTGTGTAATGGAGCGGTCATCTCCATGTGCTCTCCCTCACGCACCCTACAGTGATGCTGGGAGCTGGAATATGAAGTGATTCTGGCCCCAGCATACTAAACAGTGCACGACAGGAAGATGACAGCAGCCCCACTGGACCTCAGGGGAAGCCTATTCACTCCAGTTCTTCAAAGGTAGGGAGGCTGAGTGGATTTCAATTAAAATATATATATTTTTTAAATTATAACTTCTGAGTGTGTGTCTTATTCTGAGATTACACGTACTCATGACGGAGATCATCTTGGCACTTATGTTTGTTCCACTGTTATAAATTATATAAATATATTTATTGTTAATTCTATCTAAAGATTTGAATTGGCAGTTGTTAATACATTTGCCTTGGTTTCTTTTAATGTATAGATAAAGGGTATGTTATTATATACCATTCTAGCTCTTCACTCACACTGGTGTTTTTTTGGTGGGCTTTAATCACCTTAACACTGAGTTACAGTATTGTATGGACACGTAGATTGGACAACCACTTTAATCCCTTGGACAAGTAGATGTCCCCCCGCAAAATTCTACACCACCGAGTTCAGAAAGGCACATGGGGACAAAAGAAAGAAGGAAAACTCACACAGCAAATAGGGTTTTGGCCTTCAGGTGAGAGAAAAGGCTCCCAGTGCTTTGCACCTGCACCTAGTTTTAGAAGAATGGAATACTGCGAAGTCGGCAGGATTTAAACCTGCAGAGGGAAACCCCAATGGATTACATGTGTATTGTCTTAAACCATTCGGCCACAACTACTTACATAAAGAGAGTGAAAATAGGTTTATTTTCCCAACAGAATGTTATCGTGTCTGACTGTCTCTTTCACTGTGCGTGTGTGTCTGACTATCTCTCAGTGTGTGTGTGTGTCAATGAATGTGTATGTTTAGGTCACCAGCCCCCTCCGATCGCATGGGAATGATGCTTTTACTCATCTTTTTACCAGCGCCGTGATGGTCTCGCCAGAGCTGGCCTGTCTCCATAACTGAGATCATCAATTGCCTTTCAGCATTTCCTCATAGAGATGCATTAAATCAATTAAAAGCATCTCTATGAGGAACATGCAGCGCCTCCATGCAGAGGGTGGAGATGCTGAATGTAGGTGCTGCACATTGTGCAGCACTGAGATAGGTGACACTTTAGTGGCCACCTGGGTGACAGCCTCTAGAGGTGTTACTAGGCAGCAATGTAAACACTGCCTTTTCTCTGATTGAAAAGTCTGCAGGGACAGGCTATAGACACCAGAACCACAGCATTAAGCTGTAGTGATTCTGGTGACTATAGTGTTATTTTAAGAATTGTATTTTTGTCGTTAGGAAAAAACCCAAAAACTGGCTCCTAACTTTTTTAACTGGCTCCTAAATTGAAAGCATATTTGTCAAGCCCTGCTGTAGGGTTTATGGCTTATCGAGTGTTGCAGACATATCTAAAATTATGCCCACGTGCAAACATAAATTATCAATTGTGGGCATTGTGAAAGACCCTGTCCCTGGATTTTATTTCTTATTTAGTTAGTCTGTTTGTTCTGTAATTCTAACCTTCTCTATGAATACCCTGGTCTCGTTAGAAAAAAACGAACCAAATACCTAACGACCGACCACCCAGTAGTGGAGTATGCTGCCTATTGACCCCTTAAACCTTTCCAACACTGTGGGAATCCGCAAACACCTCAACATATATACACTCATAAATGCATTCAAATTTGCTCACTGGGTAGACCAGTCCTATACAAAACTGTCTATGCATGATGTAGTTAGTGTTGCTTTATTTATCCTTCCTCCTATATACACACAATATGTGTTACATATACTAGGAAAGGCAGCAAAATTACATTTAAAAGGCTAAATTAAGGCAATGAAAACCAACTCAATTGTACTCACAGCTTGGCAACGTTGAAATATCACATTGGCATAACTATTCAGACCCTTTGATATGACACTTGAAATTTAGCAGAGATGCATCCAATTTTCTGGATTATCTTTGACATGTTTCTACACTTTTTGATTGAAACCCACCTGTGAAATGTAATTGATTGGGCATGATTTAGAAAGAAACACACCTATCTATATGAGGTTTCACATCTGTAAATGCATATCAGAGGAAAACCCAAGCCATTAGGGCCAGTGCTTTCTATAGGCGACTTAGGAAGGGGCGTCGCCAGGAGCACCGGCCCCTTCATGCTGCAGGCGGTCTATGAGGGCGCACCGGCTCGGGAGCACATAATACGAGGGATCAGCAGGAAGGAAGCACACAGCGAGCACTTCCTGTCAGTCCGGGCAGTACAGGAAACAAACTCCTGTACTGCGGACCGGAGCTCAGAAACACTACACAGGGTAGGAGGGGAGGGGGATGGCAGAGAGACCACCATGGGAGGTGGAGCAGGGGGGGGTTGGAGGAGAGACCTCTATGGGAGGGAGGGGTGAGAACAGGCCACTAAGGGAGGGAGGGGAGGTTGAGCAGAGACCACTAAGGGAGGGAGGGTCAGGGTGAGTGGACTGGGAGAGCAGAGACCACTAAGGGAGGGAGGGTCAGGGGGAGTGGACCGGGAGAGCAGAGACCACTAAGGGAGGGAGGGTCAGGGGGAGTGGCCCGGGAGAGCAGCAGGATGCCAACTCCCACCAGACCCAGTCAGCCAAAAGGTAGGATTTTGTATCTGTGTGTGTGTGTGTATCTGTATGTCTTTGAGTCTGTGTCAGTGTATCTGTGTGTCACTGCATGTGTCAATGTGTGTGTCATAGTATGTGTTAGCGTGTGTCAGTGTATGTCACAGTGTGTTTCAGTGTATCTGTATGTCTGTATAAGTGTGTGTATCTTTATGTGTCCGTGCATGTCTGTGTGTCAGTGTGTATCTGTATGTCAGTGTGTGTAACTTCTGAATGTGTGTGTGTCTGAGATTGTGTGTGTATGTCTGTCTGTGTATGTGTGACTGTCTCTTAGTGAGTGTCTGTTTAGGTGACCAGTCCCTTTCCGAGAAAGGTGATTTTACTTACCTGTTTTCCCACACCGTGACGGTCTCACTGTGGCTGAATCCGCAATCGTGGAGGCGGGCAGTTGGCTGCTCGAATAGTAATAGTAAAACCTGAGGGACACTGCACCCAGACCACTTCATTGAGCTGAAGTGGTCAGGGTGACTATAGTGTCCCTTTAAGAGTTTATCCAAACATGTCAACCACTGCAGCCCCTTTGGCTTTCAACTCTCATCAAACTCTACCAGATGATGACAGTTGATAGATCACAGTAGGATGTCTTAAAATGTAGTTATAATGTGTAAAATAATTTTCCTAATTTACCACGTGGTAGCTGTATCCCTCTCCTCCCTGCAGTCTCCAGGCGCATGCCCATACCAGCCTCATTGCTACAAGGAGCTCTAATTGGTTGCAGACTGCGAACACATACCCTGATGACACCAGAGGTCTAAATCTAATAGGCAGGCTGATTGCAGCTGACACAGAGCTCAGTTAGGAGGAGAGGGAGGACCCAGCTGCAAGATTACCAGGATAGTCAGTAGAGGGCCTATTACAGCAGTTTGGGCCTGGAGCTGGCAGACAACCCAATATGTAAAATCTAATTTCAGGGAGGTTGCTTCACCAGCAACTGCACCCCCCACACTCTCACATATCAACACACGCATGCGTGCCACAAAATGCACACATACACACAGCCATCAAACGTATTAACAAGGACATGATATTTTATTATGACAGAACACAACTATTTACATATTACAACTATTTACAGACACTGACACATGCACACACTTTGACACACAGATACACTCACTGACTGGCACACAGGTATGGACACTGACACACACACACAGGTACACAATATCTTTTAAATCTAGTTATACTTGGGAGTTTTGATTATTAGTGCTATCTGATAGTAAAATTTAGGCAATAGTCCCCCTTCCATTCTAACAGATTTTTTAAATCCACTTTTTTTTTTCTTCACAGTATTATTTCTCCTTTCTTTTGTCTCCTATTTTCAGAGAGTGTTTATAAATGTTTGTACATGTATCATTACTAAACTAATATGCTAGTTTACTATGTATAAATAAAAATTAAGCTTTATATTATCCAATGGATAATTAAATATCCCAATATCCCTAGTAGTACACTCCAATTTTTCTAATTTTGTTGAATCACTTGCACACAGATTCAAACCTACAGATTCACACTGTCACAATCTTTCATGCACAGACACATGGTATACTAATTTCATCTGCAGCCATCCTTAACTTACCTTGTATCATGGCTGAGACTGATGGGAGTGAGCATGCTCACACCAGCCTCTTCACTGCCTCAATGCTGCATGTGTGCTCCAGCGTGTGTATCACTTCCTCCCAGCCGCAGAAACTGCCGTTCAGGGTCTTAAAGGGCCAGCACCCGACAGGGCCCTTGCTCAGAAACATTATTTATCAAGTGGGTAATATTAATATATGCTAAATGCCCTTAATTTGAGAGCATTTAGCATATACAGACACTCCTCGCTTCCGACTGGGTTTTGTTCCTCCGACCCGATCATGGGAACGAATTGGTCGGTAGGTGAGGAGTTAAGGGACTCCCTGCTCTGGTGCGTTCATAAATTAGAAGGATTCCCTGCGCTGGTGTGTTTGTCTATGTTAGGGGAAGTTTCCTCTGAGACATGCGCATCAGAGCAGGGAATCCCCACGACGGCTCGCACTTACACCTGGTCGTAAGTGCAAGCTGTGGTAAAACAGGTAGGTCGCTAAATGAGGACCACCTATATAAAACCCCGGAAATCACTCACACACAATCTGACATTATATATATATATATATATATATATACATACATACACACATATATGTACACATACATATATATACATACATACATGGGCATCCGCAGGAATTTTTCCAGGGGGGTGGGCATAATTGTAATGACATCCATGCTTGGTACCTTTTTGACAGTGTCATGAAAGGGAAGGGGCATAGCCATTATCACATAAAGCCAGGGTGAATAGCGTTTTCACAACTATGGTGTCAGGAATATATGTTTGTATTCCTGACACTATAGTGTTCCTTTAAGCAAATTAAAGGACCATTCTGGTCACCATAACAACTTCACCTAAATGAAAATGCTATGATGCCAGGAAGCCCCTGGGTGCTCGCTTTCCTTTAAGGGGTTAAATCGCTCTCAAATGGTTTAACCCCAAAGGCTTCCTCCAGCTCCAGGTCGCTCAGTGGTATTTGGCTTCTGAAACAGAGTGTCAGGAAGTGCAGATTGACGTCAGGCATGGGTGCCGCTGATTGGCTAGAGTGGACAGTTGACGCTCTAAGCCAATCGCTAGTTCCCGGTTCATAAAATATTTTTACTTTTTTATGAATGGGGAGCTACTGATTGGCTTAGAGTGCCAGCTGACCGCTCTAGCCAATCAGCAACACCCCTACCCAACGGCACTCTGTGCTTCCTGACACTCAGTAAATAAAAGTGAACACATTAATACTGATATTTTTTTACCTTTGGAGATGAGAAGGTCCAGCGTTTTCCTGCCTGGCCCAGGTACCAAAGCCTTATGATGTGGTGTCCAGAATAAAGTGGAGGGTTCACTTCATTTGTCCTTCCTGCTCCAATCTCCTTTTCCTCTCCTTCATTTGACAGTCTTTTTTTTTCTTCTGACACTGTTTTCTATCCTTGGCCCCTTCTGCTCTTTTACCTTTCTGCTACTTTCTGCTTATTTTGCGCCCTTCTGCTCTTTTCTCATTCTGATCCCTTTCTGCTCCTTGCAGACCCTTT